TGGCCCTTGCAGCTCCAGCTGTAGTACTTACAGACTGAGCAATCTCTTCCTCCGTGGACAAGGATGAGAGCCAAACTGGCCCAGAGAAGTGTGATCCACAGTGCCAGTCCCAGTAAGTGCACTTGCCCTGGAAAATAGCAGGGTGTAAAATATACTCGGAGAGATGAAATCTATGGTGACTCAACCTGGAGGGAATCACCCCCAACAAATCACAGTGGCTGCAAATCTGACTTCCCACAGATGATCAGCTTGCAGCTGCAAGTTATAGGGATCATACACAGACAGATGCTACTTGTTGAGTTGAACCATAACTTAAGACTTGGATGTGATGCTAGTATTGCCCTTGTACAGGGTCAGTGTTGGGTGGGGGTTGCTGATGAAAGCACAGCTCATGGCACAGTCCTTGCCATGACTCATGCTGTGGTTCCTTCAGTGGGGCAATGAAGCAGGAAGCACAATCCTTCCTGGGATACTCCATCTTGAAGTCAAAACACTCCATTGAGGACAGAGTCACCATGGGCTGCTTTGCACTGCACTGTCTGTTGCACATGCAAACATGCAAACACAGACCCAGCACCATCAAGATAGAGAGTCTTCCCCTGCACGACTACAAATCCAAAGAGCTTGGGTATGACATTTCATGATGTGGGCCTTCTTTCCCACCAGGCAAAACTCAGAGAGGAGGAAGAATGAACAACACACCGTATTACTCTCAGCATCTGACCAGCATACCCATCTCAACATGTAAATAAATACAAAGTGAAAAGTAAGAGAGGAAGGAATCAGAAATCTCATTCTCCCTTTAATCTGCTATGCAACTGTAAGCAGGCAATTAATTTCTTTGTTTCTTGGTCTGTAAATAAGGTGTGAGGTTTTTGCTCCATGGGGATATATCAATGCCTTCTCTCACTAATGCCATTACATTGTAAAGTGCTTTTGGATATTTGGCTCCCAAGGCACTTTAGAAATGCATGATTAAATTACAGCCAATTATAAACCAAAGCAGGTGATCTTGTAAAGGAAGGGATATTGCTCTGCTTATTAGGCATTAATAGTCTACAGAATGCTCTGGGGGAATCAAGGGGAACTGCATGAATTTCCAGTGTCCACTGCAAGTCTTCTGTTTTCAGCCTGTATTCAAACACATTACTTGAAGTCTTTATTATCTCCTTTTGCACTGTCATGGGGTCCCATCAGGTAAATCTCCTGGATCCTAAATGTATGGCACTGTATGGCAAAATTCTCTTATGAGACCTCATTCTCAGAAAACAGCTTATCTCCTCCTTATCCTTCAGAGTTTTGCTACAGTCTCTCAGGTTTGTGCAAACAAACCTTGTGACTTGCCATTTACAATGAAGAATAGGAAATTGGTTCACATCTGCTTGTGTCCTGCTGTCCTGCCTGAAGACAGGTAGGCTGTTATCAAAGGAATGTTCAAGGGAATGCACTGCAAGCCACAACCAACCTAGCTTTCCTCCATTTACTACTCTCCTATACTCACCTACATACACAGAAATTACTGAAGTTATTTCAGACTCTGTACAATACAGGCCTAGAGTACTTCCATACAAGAACATGACTACAGCCACATAACTGGAAGTGCTCTTTCTCAGCTGCACATGTAGCTGAAGTAACATACCTATGGTCTAGTGACGTCGATCAAGGAAGGCTGATTGTTAAATACAAATACACAATTTGACACCTGGTTACTCACTTTAGTGTACTACTTATTCTGTTACTTTAATGTATTGCCCATTACTCTTAATGGGATTAGAAGACTTGTAGCAGCATGTGGATAGGCTTCTGAAGAAATATATGTATAGTCTGGTAATATATATTAATACATAGTTTGTTTTATATTACTATATTTTTTATTACAACAGGCACAGGCCAAGCAAAAAAAATTGGCTTGGATCTCACTATTCAGAGTAACTGCATTCTGCTTTGCCACAGGCTGGGCAGAAGGATCACTTACCATTTTGATTTGACGAGCTGGGGCATGTTCAGTTTTGTTTGGGAGTACTGCTAATGAGACATCCTTATTATTGATAAGGCCTAAGCAAGGAGCGACTGAACAAAGGAGAAGGCGTTTACCTGACAGGATGACCTCTGAGTGTTTAATTTAGGGACTTCTTATAGCTTCTGGCCCAGAAAGACTGTCACACAGTCTCCTACATGTGACAGTTTGCAATTCATTTAGGAAAAAGATCCCAGTCAGACTGGAAATATGCTACAAGACAAATGACTTGTAACGCCAATCATCTGTTATGTCAAGACGTGATAATATCACCCTTCCTGCACACGGATGGCCCTTACTATCTTGAATTTTAATTTAAACAGCATCTGTATGAACTGCTATATAATGCGTTACACATACATACAGTAAAAGGAAGCCTGGTCCTGAAGAGATTGCAAACAAATGGATGGGATAGGCCAGGAGGTATTCTTGCGTCTATTCCCCAGGTGGGGACTGAGGGGCAAAATAGGTTAGTGATATACCCAAGGCCACAGAGGGAGCCTGAGCTTAGTCCACAGTCTTGTGTACAAGAGCACCCATCTTCCTCCAGTGCTGTCATGAATTTTTATGCTTACCTCTGTCTTTGGAGATGTACCACTGCTCCTGTGAATCCAGAGGGTCAGTGTCCCAAGTGTCATTGCAGACAATGACTCAGAAGAAGTATTTCTTCCCTGGGCCGGGGACAGTGTACTCATTGATGTAGGCGTTCTCCACAGTTGTGAACCACGTGGCAGTACACCAGGACACCATAATCAGTCTGCTAGTCGTCTTCTACATCTGAGCTATGATTTAGGGTCACAGTGTTTGGGACTTCCTCAACCAGCTGCAGATTAGTGGATGGTCAAGGGAAATCTAAGAATTAATGAGCACATTTCAGTATTGGTTTCTTCTGTTTGGGATCCTCTCTCTGTCCTTTTCTGGGGCAAGAAGTTTTCACTTCAGCTCCTCCCTTCCAAAGTCCCTGTGTGTCTAAGAAAGTACTTCTTTCCTTGATTTCTTCTACCCTGAGCAACCTGAGGACCAATTTGCCTTGTGTAATTCCCTTCTGATGTAAAAATAAGGCTGTTGTTAGTTTTAAAAAGCACTCTCTGAAGAGATGACAAGTACAAAATACACTGCAAAGGTCCCTAACTCCCAGCAGATCATTATAGTAATAGGAGTCTCTCTAAGGAGCAAGCCATGTCCACTTGGCTGTCATAGACTCACTTGCAATGGAAATGTTGTCACCAGACTGCTGAGTGGACAGACGCTGTTGTGTTAATGCTGTTATGGTGATTTGCCCGATCAAATAATGGCATGAAAAACAAGGCAGCATTTGGGGATGTCTGGAGCAATAATGGCTTCACCCTTTCCTTCCACATTGGACAGAGTGAGCAAAGCCCCAGCAGTACCTTCCTTATCCCTCAGCTCTGAGGGATGCTGCTCCCCTACTTGGCTCAGCTAACTGGCTCTGGCTCTGAGCTAGCGTGAAGGTGGGACTTGGGAAACACAGTGACAAGAGGTAGGAAAATCCTTTGCAACCAGGGAGTCTTTCTCCCCTTGAGTGGAAACAACATTTTGGATCGCTCCTGTGGCATTTTTTGGATAAGGGGTGTGTATGATTGGGATCATTTGTTTTTTTCAAGAAAAAAAACAACCTTCCCAACTCTAGTAGTGATGCAGAAATTGTGTCAAATTTCTATCAGCAGAGGAATACCTCCTGTCGACACCCAGAGGGGATTGAGATGCTCAAGTTTGCTCTATACTGTACCTGCAACTTGGATTTGAATGTCGTAAAGGGCTTCTCTGTAAGTATTCTTGAGGATAATTTAGTACAGGTCAGAAACAAATCACTTGGTGCTGTGGATAAGGACTGGGAATGGTTCTTGTCCTCCCTCTTGTTGATATGCCTTCTTTTTGCCACGTCACTGGTGGTGGTGGTGAGCCCTGGCCAAGACAAATGTGCAGCTATAATGTTCTGCTTCCTGACTTGGGTGGCAACAGAAACAAACCATGTCTTTGAGCACAAAAGGGGCATCTGTGTCTACAGGAGCCACTTGTACATGATCAGCCTGATAGAAAAATGTTTCAAGGACAACAATCCTAGAGATTTCTCCAAGCTGTAAAGGCAACGGCAGGCTTTGTCCCCTGCAAAGTGCATAGAGCTGGCTTGGCTTGGGAGATGCCACATAAACCTTATGCTACAGTTCATCTTGAAAATTTGATCATCTTGAAAGCTGAGGGAAAACAGCTGGTGTGTTACAGATAAACTTGTACAATTTGGACTGAGAGATACATTCTTACACTGGGGCTGATTCTGCAAGGTACTGTAGGGCCACAGCTCATGCAGTAGTCTAGGCTTAAAAAAAAGGAAAGCACAGAAGTTGCTCTTAGCCTCTACAGAAATGAGCTCAACATCCATGTTAATAGAAATTGTACCTCAGAAGGGACAGTGTTGGGACCTCAAGCGTTGTCTTTACAGCCTGAGCACTCCCCTAGGTCACTCAAGGTTTAATTCAGAAGGATTTCACTTCAGTTAGCATGAACTGTAGTTGCATGCTCAAAAAATTCTTCTTCTCATGATGAATCAGAGAGTTTTATGGTTTGCTGAACACTGTTGCTCCAGCTGCAGAGGGCTGGATTGTGCAGCTGACAAACTTGCGTGCACAGAAGTTCCTCTACCCTTACCACCACAGGGAGGCTCATAAAAAGACTAGCCATAAAAATAGTGAGCAGTTATGCAGGACTTCATGAACCTAGAGCACCGCATGAGTTTTCTCCAACAGTCAACTTCTTTTAAACCAAAGTGACAGCTCATGTGATAAAGGCCAAAGGACAACTACGGACTCCACAGCCCTGCAGCTGTATTTCACCAGATGCCCAAGAAAACTCTAACTGCAGGATTTCTCCTCTGACAGGACACAACACAGAATCTCACAGGGAAAGATGCATGAATGCATTTCTGTCCCAGCACAAACCACCATGTGGCTCTTCAGCCTCACAGTCACATCAAACCTGTGGGGGGAATAAAAGAAAAACAGATAGAGAGAGATAAATTAAAAAATTAAAAGAGTGAGAGATTGCATAGAAAAGTAAAGCCATTCTTTAGTCTCTTGAGTCATGCCTGGAGACTGGAAGAAGAAACCTTCAAACTGTTTCAGCAGAAGGCAGTTAGTGTAAGGGTTGCAATGTTGCCAGCTCTTTTCCTAATGCCCATACCACCAGAAGAGAAACATTAATGCCTCAGCAATCAACAGCTAGTGATGAGCGCCTATTCAGGAAAATTTCAGGTGAGGCAGGTGGAACAGGAACATTTAAAAATAGTTCATGTAAAAAGTGAATGAGAACAAAGAAAAAGAAGAGGCAGCTTTAACGCCTCATTAGATGATTTTACTGTCCACCTTCAATTGCCACAAGCAATTTTGTATAATGTCTGATTCTTATAGGACTTCTCATACTCTTCAGTACAATACTGCATGTTGCCATTCCACACCAGACAAGTTTGTCTGGAGCCTGCAATCTCTCTGGGATTTTTTGGTGCTTCTCTATTTGGAGATGTGGTAACAAAGCTGTGCTGCACTGATGGGTTGTGTAGTTCCACAGTGGAGACCGAGAAGAGAAACAACCATTTTTTGTATCAGTCATCTGGATGTTGCCTTCTGAGACTTCCTTAGTCAAGCTTGAATGTCCTTCTACTCTATAGGAATCAGCGCTATATAACAGGACTCATGAATCATGCATCTTTTCTTGCCGGCGTTACTGCTACTGAGGGCAGTCAGCACCATGCTTTGTTACCTGGGAGTATCTTAGACATAAAAAGTCTGAATTTCCTAATTAATAACTGAGCAATCATAAGTCCTAAACAATAAAGATTTAAATACTTTGCTACCTCAAATAGTAAGCTATCTAGGGATTTCATGGCAGGTCATGATACCTTCATTCTCAAGACATAATTAGTGTCTTTGAAGCATGACCTCTGATAATACTATTTCAACTTTAGCATGCTGGCACCTGACTGTTCATCCCATTCAAGCCAAGCATCTGAAAGAATTATAATCCTGTCTCAGTACCACCCTATTTACAACAAACGGGCATTTCAAACGTGATGGTTTATTTGCTGTAGTACCTATCCTTCTAACCCATACTCAGACTACAGTATCCATGACAGGAATCAGAGAATCTTCCAAAAGTGACTTCTGTAATCACATGTGAGATGTGAGGTGAGAGGTCAGATGGTGGAAGAAACAACTGCCATTATACCTGACATACTCATTCAGGGGACAGCTCAGCAAGAAAGATGGCAGAATGATTTTAATTTGGCTCAAGGACTGCACAGCTTATGCTGCTCTCCACCTTCTCTCAGCACCTCTGAAAACTCAGCAAAAAGAAGCAGAGCTGTGATGCTAAATGTTCTTTTGTGCAAGATGAATTTGATAACGCTTTACAAAATGAGGTATATGTTAAAAACAAAAGAAAGTAACACCTGATAGCTGGGAGTTCCAGCTGGACGGATACTGCAGGTCTTACCTGAAGGTGGCATTGCTCGAATTCCTTCCACTGCTTCTCCCATACCAGCTTCATTCACAGCTTGGGTTCAGAAGTAGTATTTGTCTCTCCTGCAAGCCTCCCACAGTGTAAGTGGTACTAGAGATAGGGATCTTGGTGCATTTTGTCCATTTCTTGGTGTCCTCAGCTCACATCTCTGGTATGTAGCCTGACAGCACACCTCCCTGGTCTGGCTCCTGCCAGGCTGAGGAAATGCTGGAGTTGGAAAAATCCACCACCTTCAGCAGTCCTGGAGGCTCTGTGACAGCAGGAGAGCTGTGACACACTACTGTACCTGCAGGCCTATGCTTGCATATGTGAATACAGAGCTGTTCCTATTTCAAGATGCCGAACCTGCAAGGTTTTAGGGTAAAAGGAGCCTTAATAAACACAGAGCAAATTCTGTCCAACAAAACAACACACTTCCTAACATGGCACATATACGTAGGCCCTGTTCCAAGGTTGGCTATTTAAGAAAAAACCTCACAACATTTGACACGGGACCATCTGAATTCAGCTTGGAAAGGGCACCTTCTGGGAGCACTGACCACCACTCATTCTCCACATGTGTTTGGGAGAGGTGTCCAGCATTAAAGGTTTGCTTCTGTCTCTTCCTAGCTGACTGGTAAGCTCTGCAGTACATTCTCTATAATCTGTCTTGTATGGCTTTGAGTGCCTTGTGTCTCTTCTTGTTTAATAAATCCCCCTTAAAGTCCTGTGTAAAGTGGTCAGGTGCTATCTGGACTGCTTGGATTAGTGAATTAGCTTACTGGCTTGCAAGATCCTGTTAATGTTCTTCAAGTTTATTTGCCAAAGATTACAGTACCCCTAATTAATAGTCATTTTTGAAAATACAGATCTTGCTTTTTGTTCTTCAGTCCACCTTGCAGCAGTCTAGTTCGACCTCCATAATACATAAGAAGAGCAAAAGATGGAATATTAAAAAAATATCTGTATGTTTTTAATCAAATGAATAGGGAGTTGTGTATCCAAATCCACGTTCTGCTCTGACAGTCTCAGCTAAAATGCAACGACCCTCCTCCCAAACCAAAAAAGTCAACCCGTGCAGCATGCCGTGACAAACTTGATGCTAATGGCTTTTATACAGAACACTCATAGGAGCACACAAGGTCATAAGGAATATGGTGCATATGGTCAGTACATATTCTCCTAGGCTAATGTGAAATAATGCAAGTCTTCAAATAGGAGAAGAATCATAGCTTCAGGCTCTAAATTGGTTTTGTGTTGTCTTCTGATGTAAAGGAACCTGAATGCTTTCCCGTCTGAGTAACTATTTAACCTCAAGGCTCTTGTCTACTACATAGAATTCTCTCATTTTTCAGCTATACCAGCTTCCACACTTGGCCAGGTTTTTTTCTAAATTATGTGCAGCTACTAAAGCCCACTCCTTATCTATTACAAGATTCCGTCAGTAGTTTAAGCTATTTATTGATGGCCTCTGACAGCCTTTTTTTTTGTAAAATGCTTTAGTTATATGGTCATATATAGTAAGAATTCTCTATAACTGGCACAAAATAAAATCTGCCCGTTTCAGCATTTCTGAGGCTACTGTAATCCTTTGGAGTTTGCCTGTGATTTTGATCAGTCCAGAATTAGGCACAGATTCTTCACTACTAAAAATCCAGTATTAAAATAAAAGAATGTAAGCAACTATAATGAATTCCGCAAGAGTTTTCTCTTCTTTTAAAAGGGTTGATGGGGGACTGATGAAAGGACCATAGTAACATGTATGAGAAATTATTTTCTTTGTCATACATTAGGGCCTTTGGCAACCTATATGTGAACATTAAAGGTATATACACCTCAGAGCACCTTTATCATGTTGATCTCTGCTGTTTGCATACACTCAATTCCCCCCAGGTGGGAATCTCTTACTGTGTCCTTATCTTAATAGTTACATATTTTAAGTGAATAATATCACACTTTCAGGCACTTAGTTACAATATAATTACATTTATAGCCAACACTATTAAGGCCTTCCTTAATCTTTAGTTAAGCTGTAAATACAATGCAATCCATTACATTGAGCCAGGCTGGAATTGCGACATTCCCTCAGACTTCAGTCATAAATGCATAGATCTGGTCATCGCATACATGTTTAGGAAAACTAGACAGTGAAAGAAACATACTGATGGAATCCTTTGCAACGAGAGGTTGAGGGATGCTGAGAAGTCCAGGGCCCGCATGGTTCACCGCTATCACATGGAACTCATTCTGTATCCTCCAGAAAACCATCCATTTTGAATCTGGTACCTAGAGACACACATGTTGCAATTAGACAACTCTCTAATCACCCATAAAAGTGTTCCCAAGTGGTCACTATTTTTTTTTTTTAATTGCTTTTGGACTGAAATAAACCAAGAAGAAATTTCAGCTCACAGACTGCTGGAGAACAATATAAATTTCAGGGGTTCAGGGAGCCCCTTAACTAGGTCTAACCTTTACTTCTCCAGTGGTCTGCTCCATTTTCATCTCTCTCTCCTTAAGAAGGAGATGGAATTTTGATGCATATAATAAGAGGAAAAACGCGTAATTTGCTTTCCACTAGATTATGGTCTACAGCCTGGTATAATCATATATGCTGGGGAAAAGTATCTTCATGTCTTGCTTCACTGACTTCAGTGGGATTTCCCACGATGTAATGAACTCAACAGAGTGGCCAAGCCTTCCACAACCTAGCCTTCAAGCAAGGTTAAACCTCCATTCAATTTTGGAAAAAAATTCAGGAATTGAATAATTTGCCTTAAAAAGTGTTTCCGTTATTTACCATGAGTAACGTTGGGTGCCTTAAGGAGGATATTTTTGGGTAGTGTGATTGATTGTAACTTAATTAATACAAAAGTCCAACATTTTGAATGAGACAGAGGAAAGAATCCAAGAAAGAACCAAAATATTAACAGAAAAGGAAAAGCAAAAGTCTCGTTAGTCAGATGCTGCTGCAGATAGGAACACTCCCATGTGTTATACAAGCTGTGCTAAGCATGGATCATATGGTTGCTATCTGATGGATACAACAAAATCAGTCACCTGTTTAATTCAGTTCTGGTCTAAGTCAGGGAAAAGCAGTCAAATTTAGGTAGGGAGAAATGTAAAATGTAGGTGCTTTGAAATTAGGCACCCAAATCCATAGGTGTGACTTTCAGAGGTGCCGAGTGTTTTGCCCTCTCACTGTTGCTTGTGGGTATCAAGCCATTTCTATTTGAGGGCTGAAAATCTCACTTTGAACAGCATATGTCAAAATGTGTATCTTGCTAGATGTCATGATGAAATTTTCCATGATTAATCAATACTCCGCTTTGCATTCAAAGCTTATCTAACTTTCCTTCTGCCTACATAAAACAGATAATAATCATGGTCTGACCTTGGACTGGTTCCTTGGTGACTCGGACACAGAGATTGCTGCCCTTCTTCCTTTTCTCTATCGTGTAACCTTGCACTGGGGAGCCTCCATCCTGGGCTGGGGAGTTCCAGGTGATGGTGACAGCTTCTTTCGAAACATCTACAACTTGAGGCTGAGACACCTGTCTCAGAGGCTCTACACAGAAGAAAATGAAATTAGCACAATACAATCAGAATTCATAACTCTAAACTGTGTGTATGTGTTATGTGTGTGTGTATAAATATGTACGTATATATGTATGTATAGCAAGAAGTCAAGGAAGGTAACTTGTATGTTTAGGTTTATTCATGGCCACAACCTTTTTCTAAAGACTCTTTCTTTGCCATCTACTTCTCTTTGTCATTTCAAATGTTGAAACATTTCAATTCTTGCACTTACTCCAAAACTGAGCTTTTTCTGTGATGCATTACAGAGCAGCTCAGAAATGCCTTCCCTAATCCATAGGAAGTTTGGACAAAAATGCAAAGTTTTAGATGAAAAATGATATATATTACTTTAAGTTGGTAATTTTCTTTCTGAAATATTTCAATAGGCCAGATTGCTGTTTGCACTGTATCTTCTGTGATACACCCTGGTCTTGGGGAAAGGGGACTGCAAATCCCCTTTCATTGGGGATGCCAGCCCATAAAGGAAAAATCGGAACAAGAGGTATCCAAACTATAACCCCCAGAAGATAGTCAAGCAGTGTTTTCTAACTAAGTTAGTTTTTGGCTGACATATTTTCTTTTTTGGCCGCAAAACAAAATGTTTTTAAGCATTCCCTTTTAAATTATCTTCTCTCCTCCCCCACAACATTTTCCAGAGAAAGCCACTTTTCATTTCTGCCGTATCCCACGAAGCTTACGTAACTGACACCAGAACAGTGTGTTAGTCAGTCCTCTCTTGTGGCCAGTCCATGTCGAGGGGTTTCTGAGTCCACAAACACAGTGAAAGGACCTGGGTATTTGTTTGATCCTGGTTATCAGCCTAAGCACAAAGCAGCTTCTAAGCTCTGTCCTTGGAATTTGTCCCCTCAAGCACAGGGGCAGTGTTCTTTTGGGGACTGGCAAGGAGGAAGAGGACAAAAACAATGGGACGCGGGACTGTGAAACCACCTTAAAAACAGCTGGCTAATAGGTTCTCCAGCAAAAACTTCTTCTGTTTCCAGGGGCTCGATGAGGCCCTCAGAGTTGATGGCACATACTCTGAATTAGTAAGCTTTCCCTTGCTCCACCTTCTCCATAGCAAATGTGGTGCAGTTGCTCTCCACCACCCCTACTTTGATCCACGATTTTTTCTCCAGCCATCCTCCTCTTGGTGACTAAATGAGTCACCTGCTTTACTCCATTGCCTTTGAGTGCTTTCCATCTCATTTTACATTTTCCCCATGTGTTACAGGAACTCTGCTTTCCCTCGTGGCGGTTTTAGTTTGTCTGCAGTGTGAGCAGCTGACCAGAGTGACATGGAGGGCTATTATTTAGAGGGTCATACCCTGACACGATGTAAATCAGTGTAGACTACAGCAAAACTAAACTGTCTTGAATCACTTGATTTGATAACTCAGAGTCTGCCCCACTGCAAGACTTTTAAAAAGAAAGTCTGAATTACAGAGTCTGTAACCCAACATATCTGCCTGTGATTCCTGCTATAAAATGATTAATTTAGGACCTACTAAGGAAATTGAGGTAAGGATTGTCAGAAGCCGAGCCAGTCATTTTTCAGATTCAGCATAATGGCTCCACTGTCTTCTCTGACACAGATTTTGATTGTGAGTAACAAAGTCACTGGCTTTCTCCACCACCACCTTCTCTTCCTCTGTCACCTCAATACCGTCTTTGAACCACGTGACTTTGGGCACTAGCTTTGCCTTGAGAGGCACCTTGATGCTTTCTGTATGCTTAGTCTTCACAGTAACACTGTGTGCAGCAAAAAGCTTGAGGACAGATGTCTTCAATAACAGGAGAATCTGGAAAGAACAGAAGACATCTGAAAGCTGCAGCTGCAAATATAGCTTGACATCTTTCCTGTGTCTGTGAGTTCCCAGAAAAGGTGGTCCAAAGCTGGGCCCTTCATATACTCCTCCATGTTTTTAATATAAGAATCCTGTATTTTGTGAAAGTCTTCGGGGACACTCAAAATCTTCAGCGTGTTTTGATTCAGTTAATTTAGTTCTGTTTCTTGTACAGGGAGCCGGCTGACCTCCTTTAGTTGTTCAGCTCAGCAGAAAACCAGGGACCTCTGGAAAATAGCAAGCCCCAAAGCTCCTCACTTCTCTGGGGCCTGGAGATTTGATTCCAGGCAGTTTCTGGAAGTTTTGCAAGGCAGGAGAAGCAGCCCTTTGTGCTGTTCTTCCCTAAGGCCACACTGGGATATCTACGATCATGATAAAGATAATAGAATCAAAGTTAGGTACCGCTTGTAAACAAAGCGCTCCCTCATTTGTTAGAGTAATATGGGAAAATTATAAGGATGTCCTGCACACAGTAAAGAAAAATAACCGGGTTCCTAAACATATTTGGTGTTTTTCCTTTTATTTTTGTCACACAACGCATATGTTTAGAAATTACAATCTTCTGCTGAAAGTCATAAAAAGACATTCAAAAATAGTTTTGAATGCAGGAAAATCAACTCTCCCTATACCAAAACTTTGCTGTAGATGAGCTTTTACTGCAACACAGGTACGATAAATATTCGGTGCTGCAGCCACAGCATCCTTACTGCTGCGTTTGTCGGGCTGCCCATGCAGCGGTATCTATCCACCTTGCCTTGATTCAGCAGACAGAAAGAGGCTTCGTTCCACGCCGCAGACCAGTCTGAAAGTCCATCTGGCGCCATCTGGCTGCCAAGAGCTGAGTAATACGCATATTTATGTATTTCTATATATAATTTCAGAAAAGGTGTTTTTCTTGTTGCTCATGACAACAATGTTTGAAGTAAAGGCTCAGGCCAAAATTCTTGATCACTGATTTATAAACACAGAAACCTATGCTCAGTCACTTAAAATCAACCAGTACCACTGTTCAATTTTCTCCCCTCAGGGAACAAAAAGCACAAAGAAGAGGTTTTGCTCATGCACATAGATAAGCCTGTAAAATGGTACAGGCCCAGGTAAGGGGACCTGGTGAAGCACTGATTCTGCAAGTGTTTGTGTACGCCTGGTGAAGAGCAATAAGGAGATGGAGCGGCTACCTCCAACGGCAACTGTTGCTCCACTCTCTGCCCCCTTGGGTCTGAATGTGTACCTCCCTTCATGCTCCTCTCCCATTCTGTCAATGATAAGTTTGTAGATGGCTCCCTGCTTCGCTATCCAGATCCTTTTCATGTCCATAACCTGACAAGAAGATGAGGCATGAAACAACCCACATTGCAACAAACACCATCTCCAACCCTGTCCCTGAATCCTCCGATCAGAGTTTCCTGCTCTAAGATGACTAAGTGGTCAGGATTTCTAGCTCCTACTCTGGTAAAATGCTCTGTGATCTATGGACAAAATGAATACAGTGTTATGTGGACAGAGCGATCTGTGTATCTGCATAGATGAGCCACATGGCATGTCCATTACCATGCAAAGGATACATTTACTGATTACTCTGAAAATCAGAGACTGGGAGAGGGAGAAGGGTGGGTGGTGAGAAGCCAACCTTGTGGGAAGAATGTGAGTCTACAGGCTGAGAAAATGGGTTAGCAAATGTGAAAGCATCTTTACAGCAGACTGGAAAGGAAAATTTTGAAAAAGCCAACACTCAAAGCCAAAATTTAGTAAGACTGAGGCTGTAGTAGACTGGGAAAGATTGAATCTGTTCTTGTCTGATCTGTCCATCTGTTTGTCCTTAGTCAAAAGCCTTTATCAAAACCAGGCCAAGTCCCACAGTAGCTATTTGGAGAAAACTTCCCACTAGGGTTTTGCAGCCTTTCATTATTCTGACAACACCATGGGCATTTTATCTATTTGCCATCATTGAGCCATATTCTTTCTACCTTTGCATCATTCAGGACAACACAGAGCTCGGCAGGATCCCCAACCAGAGCATGAACATCACACATGGTTCCGACAGTGCAAATGTCTCTGGAAGAAATCCCGGTGGAAGCATGTGAACAGAAAAACTGTGCAGAATGATTGTTGACTGAGCACTTCAAACACCAAGGAGGTATTTAACAGCAGGGAGATCTCATACCAAAATGGACAGGCCCTCAGGACGAAGTGGTTTAGTGAATTGTACATCATGGGAAGAAAGGAGGATGGAGAAAGGCTGTTCCCAAGTAGTTTTTGCCCTTCTTCATAGGTGTTCACTGCAGGGAATGTAGCTATAGGAACCCAGAAGCAGAACACAGCCTCTTGGCACTGCTCCAGACCCTTAGCTGGTCCAGAGGAGCTGTCAAACCAGCCGAACAGTTCTGCCTACACAATATTTGTATCTGAACCTGAACTCCACATGGGGAAAGATGAATCTGTAACTAAGTCACCAGCCTGCAATTCCAGTGCGTACAGGAGTCAGAAGCAGTTCACCCACGGCTTTCCAGGTTACCTGTGCCACAGAAGTGGCTTCTGTCCCAGAGGAGTGGTCAGAGAAGGCCTCTGCCCCACACTGTCCCTTCAGGCCACCCTGGCCATGGCCCACAGAGGGCACTCACATACCAGGCCTGGTACCCATCCTCCAGGAGCCAGGGCTTCCTTGCCCACAGCCAGCCACACGCCACCCTGGCCACAGTCTCCTCGCCAGGCTGCACACCTGGAAAGCCCAGGGCTGGGGATGCCATTGGGAAACTGTTCCCTTCTGGCATGTTTTGGGAAAACAAAATGAGAAATACAGGGCCAAAATGCAAGTAATGGAGTGACCTCCATCCAAGTCCATACACCAGGACAGGGTTTGTGGGGCATCATCTGACACAGAACACACAGAACTATTAGGAAGAGACCAGCCTCACAGAGACATCTGTCAGGGATGAGCACTAGGGCAGATCAATCTTCCATGTGAGAAAATCTGCTTGACCTCACAGCTGAGCTTCTTTTGGCCCCTGAAGTTTCCTTCATACCATCCTACCAACTGAATATTCTGTTGTTCCTGAACCTGTGAAGGACACACTAATATAATTTTATCCTTCTTCCATGCAGTTCATTTTTAAATGGTCTTAAAATGCTGCACTTTTCATGGAAGGCACCTGAGCATAGTTCAAAGCTGGTCCACATCTAATAGAAGTCATCTCAAATACTAACAGCCACTAAAATCCACACCCTAACTTTGAAATTCTTCTCCAGCCTATACTGAGAGCATGAAGCTAAACATTCCAACTTTTTTCCCCACTCTTAACAGCCTTGTGTCTTTCTATAAAGATTATAGACTTAAGTTTACAGCATCAATAATGCTACTGCAAAATTAATTCACAAAACAAATGTGGTATTAAATATTTACCAGCCTCATGTTGTGCTGCTGGTCCTCAGCAGACTGCAGTCAAACGTCCCATGGGTCGCTTTAAAGAATCAGGATAAGAATTCATTAAGACAACCCTGATTAAAATAAAAAACACGGTACACTTTACTAGGCTGGTTTAGGTGACACGTGCAAGGACTTAAATGGAAGATTTACTGCTCTATGCTTCTACCGCTTTATACAGCAAAGGGAAGTCCTTAATTATTATCTGCATGCTACCAAGAGGGGGCACAGACAAATGGCTTATTCCATGTTAAACAATAAATAGACTGCAGAGCAGTGTTATCTCACATCAGTTTCCTAGCTGTTATAGCAAAGCAGCACTGCTCCTCTGCAGAGTTCACTGAAGAAGAGTGTAAAGACTACTATCCCTCCTCCTCTTCCTCTCTTGAGCCATTCACACTTAGCTTCCACAGTTATGCTGGCACTGCTGTACTGCTCATTAGGGTCACTGTCTTGATTACCCTACAATCGCTGTGCTATCTCAGCTCAGCAGCATTAATGATAAGCTCCGCTCTCTTCCCTTCATGCTTCATGATGTACTGAGGAGACCTCTCAATCAGTCGTCCATTCTAAATCCCCTTCAGGGTGACATCTTCAAAAGTCAGCACACACTCCAGGCAGGCTTTTCCCTTCTTTTTCACTTGGCTGTTCTTGAGATTGCTGACGAACTGAATTGGAACCCCTGGGAAAGGGGAAGGGGTTGGCAAGAAAAAATGGCACATACCAGCAAGCACCTTATAAATAAAAACAGGTGGCCTTCCTTTGCAGGATATAACATGGGCTCCTGTGCAGGAGAGATTCCAGGCTTGGGACTTTACTTCCAGTGTGAAAATGAGGTCTTGATGCTCCTCTGTTTGCCTGTCCACAGACTAGCTTTATGAGACTGCTGCTTCCATTTTTTTCAGCCCAAGCTCTGGGGCTTTGTGTTTTAGCTTTATAGATTTTGCAGCTCAAACCCTGTTATCTTGCGTTTGATCTACCCACTGCCCAAAGAAGCTTACTTTGCATTACTTATGATCAATGAAGAGTGGAGCGTTCTGCACTAGATCTCCAGTCTCAACACTGAGTTCTTTAAAGTCACTGGACAGAACACCCTTAATTTTCATAGTGTGGGCCAATCCATCATCAGATGTGATGATTTCGTACTTCAATTCTTTCCCATTAAGCTTCCAGGTGAAGTTTTGCACTTCCTTTGGCAGGCAGATTTCAAACACTGCTGTCTGTCTTTCAGTAACTTTCAGTGGGTTCAGTTCCGTCAGGAGTTAGGGGCTCACCTGTTAAAATACCAAAAAGACAAATATTCATTCTGTTATGCTTAGTTCCTGATCTCAGATTTCCTACACTAAATAGCTAGACTTCAGTGAAGTCATTTTGCTTTCCTTCTTGAGTGGTAGCGGAAAGATCAATTCATTCCTTCAACTTCAGTGGAAATTAAGCTAACTACAGTTCATAATGTTCAGTAAAAGTTGCATTAAATCCTACAAAGCTGATTACCAACAGACACACTGGTTTTCTGTTCAGTTCTGTCTTAGCTCTACTTTTTTTTGTCTCCTTTACTGTAGGTCATTATAAAGCAAATGGCTTCAGGCAACTGCAGATGACATCTATAAGCATACTGGAACCATTTGGCAAGCTGAAATAGGACTGACATCTTCCTGCATTATCTGTAAAGAGTGCTGCAGTGCCTGGCACAGGATCGCTATCTGGCTTAAGTAAGGTAATCTACCACACTACAAAATAGCCTGTGCCCAAGCCCTGTTAAGGGCTTTATCAAAAAGGTAGGTATTATACTTAAATGGTACTTATGGCAAAGCTTATCTTTAAGAGATGGTCCTACTGCAATAAAAGGTAAGGCAGGTAGGCAGCATCACTTTTACTTAGCATTGATTTAAAGCAAGTTTGCTCTACAGAATGTAGCTAGTTTTCTTTCAAACAGCAGGCACACATTTGGCTGGTTGTAGGAAGCATATGCAGATGAAAAAAGATCGTTGTCATTACGCCCAGGCCCATCCACTCACTCCCAAGTCCTGTAACATTGTTTGAGCAAAGTTCACTTCCACTAAAAGGACAGTGCCAAGGTGCATTTTGTCATTCCCATCTTTTCCACTAAAACTGGTCCAAATTCAGCAGTGACTCACACCCCTGCCACACTGACGTCAGTGGAGAATTTGGCTTATTATGTGTAATAACTAGGCTTCAAACTGAAATCTGCTATGTCATGAAAGGTGTATTCACATGGGCATTCTGGTAATTGTGGGTTGGTCTATGACTTGTACAATGTTAGATTTCTCTTTGAGCCTAAAAAGACCAGTGAATCACGAATGTTGCAAAGACATATAAGAAAAAAAAGTAGGTTACAGTTTGGCCCACCAATTTTGACCCTCAAATTTTTGTCTGCAGATGTTGACATTGTACACAGAACATCCGAGAACAAAGATTACCTACCACTCTCAGCATAACAGAGAGTTTCTTGTCAGCCACAAGACGACTGTAGGTGCCTAGGTCTTTCCCATTCATATTGGTGATGCACTGCATATATTTCATACCCATATGCTTCATATGATTTTTTTCTCAGGGAATACAGGGAACACAAAAGCTCTTCCCCACAATAAGTACAATGCTTGCACCTTTGAAAACATGTTCTTTTTGTGCAGTGGACACACAGTGCACAGTTTAAAGTCAGCAGGGGATAGATTCTTTCATTCTGCTTCACCCCACTCTACTTGCAGAAAATCTGTCCTGCAATGACTCTCCATTTTGTCTAATTTAAAAATTCTTCCAAGCCTAGTTGTTAGTAACTGGTCTAGACGTTAATCAAGCCAGACCTCTAGAGCTTACCTTTAGTAATGATCAGGGATACTGTGTAGATGGCATCAGTGTGGATATCGGACACTACACGCTTGTAGTTATCTGTGTCATCTCAAGAGAAGCATTCAGATTGGAAAGGAAAAAAAAACATAGAGAAAGCAATAAGCAAAAGCTCCACATAGGTTGGGGCGGTGGGAGCCGATATGGCAAATGTATTAGTGAATTCCTCTTTTCATTTGTGTTTAAATCAGTATTTTTTTTTTAATCATCAACAGAATTGAAAATCCAGAATCTCTGAGTGCAGAAATTTTGAAGCCAAATCCAATGCTCCCCCCTCCCTAAAGATCCCTCACAGCCTTCCCAAAGCCCCAGAAACAGACAGAAGTCTTCCCACTGACAGTGATGTATTTTGGATCACGTCCATTCTTGGCCTAAGGCAGCAAAATGAAGCCACATTTCTTCTCAGAGACATCCTTTTATTCTGGTGCTCTGCATTGAAAACGACTATCATCCCTGAACTGCATAAGCAATACAGAGACCAGAGACCAGAGACCAGAGGAGGGTGAATGGAAGCTGTTGGACTTAAGACACTGGAGTACTGTAGGAAAAGAAAAAGAATTTGACCTGCCCTGGCTGGCAGGCTTGTAAACAAAGGACTGCCTGAGAGAAGAGGTGAATTAGAGTGAACTAAGAATTAAGGAGAGAGGAGAAAAAGTGACAGAGCAAGGAAAGTAAGGAAAAGAACAGAAGAAGGGCAGAACTTTTGCAGCCATGGAACATCACAAGTTAAACAGGGCTGAACTGGCATATATGTCTTGAATATTATGAATTATTAAGATTTAGCGTTGGTTTTGCCTGAATGGCACACAAGAGACATTAGGGCCTCACTATGCTAGACACAAAACCAAGTAACAAAAATAATGGTTCCTGCTTTGATGCTCTTTTTCTATTGATCGGAAACACTGCCCTACAAACACACAACAGTATTTGAAAGTAGCAATATTGCAGTAGGCCAACTGCAAACAGGGACATTTTTATTGCTGCGGAGAAATACTATAGAGCTTAAGTTTTTCTTTTTTACAGTTTTTACTGTGGAAATAAAAAAAAAAAAAGAGCTAAGAGCAAGAAAAAAAGGTGTATTACCTTAGCACATACTTCTTAAAAATACTGTCAAGAACATTCTGGATCCTCCTTCTATTGGTACCCACTCGCTCTTTTCCATGTTGCATTAGGCTTTGGTTTACCTTTAACTTCAGCTCAGAATATTGCTTTGTCTCCTAAAATTCAAGAAGAAACACTGGAATTAATGAATGAATGAGTAAAATGGAACAGGGGCCTGTTACTTTCTCTGTTTGGGTTTATTTTAAATGCATGGTTTCTTTTCCTGTCTGCTTTATGGAGGAGATTAGATTATCCTTGCTTTACTTTACTTACGGTACTTATTACAACTTTACATCTATCATAGATACCACTCTGGGAATGAAATTTGTTCATTAGCAGCACTCTGCACACTGACAGGAATGATTTGTGATTTTTTTGTGATATATAATAAAGACTCATATGATCTTTCTGTCACTTTAGACAGTCACAGATCTGTCATATGGGAGAGATTATACATGATGGAAAGGCTTATTTAGTTATGCATTAAAGGCCGCATTCTTCCAGCCCCAGCCAAATCATTCGATCATGAGTTTTGCATAAACAAGAACTGCTGTATTTAAATCAGTAAGGACAGGTTTCCAGCAGCTAAAATGAACATCAGCTTTCCCACTGATTTTGACTGATCCATGACAAATGTCTAAAAACAGTGAGGATGGGCATAGGTAACTGCAGTTTGCACCTGTTTTTGTTTACCACTCTTCCAGTTATAGAAGAAGACGGACCATATTTACTTGCATGAGATGGGTGAATATACCTAAGAGCACCTGAAAATGCAGTCAGTTATTGGCACGTCTTTAATCAGAAATTGTTGTTACTCACCCTCGGGTGTTGCCAGTGGACAAGGTTTTTCCACAAATTCAGGAATGCTTTCTCCAGCAAGGATCTCAAAGGAGCATATCACCGTGCTAAAAGACTCCAAAAAGGCAAAAGATTTCCTAGAAACAACTTCTTTGGTTAATCAAGCAGAACAGAGAGGTACTGTTTGAAGGATTTATTTACTGGGAGTGGGAAAGGGTGGATACAACAAGAAGCCCTGAAATGTAAAGTTACAGAAAGAATTGCCCCAGTCATTTAAAACCCTTGGGAGAGGAAGGTTTATGCAGCAGAAAGAGTGCTAGCTGTCCATAGGAGACTGCTGATCAATTCCTTGCTTCTTTCCAGTCTTTCTGTGGGATTTTGAGCAAGTAATTTGCTCTCTCTGTACCCGTCTTGTCATCTACACAATAGGAAAATTGGGCTGCAGGAGTGCTGCAAGGTGCTTTGATGTTGGCTGTCATTCAAGAAAGGTATCAAAACTGGATGTATCAAAAGGCCCATTAGGGCTTACTCTGTTCTGCACAAGCTGTAGTAAGCTCCTGAGTACTGCTCATGCTCTATGTTTAGCAAATGCACATAGTTTAAGACAAATTCTCCTCCTTTAAACTGTTCATTTCAGAAGGCTCCGAAGAGCTGCATTTTTCTATCAGAATGAACCCATTTAATTTGTTTTTATAAGAACTAGTTCTTCAGTTCAGATAAAACTATATTTTTTTCCAGCCAGACTGACCAGTAAGGAGCTGGCTCTGAATACTCATTTCTAACACCTCCATGCAAACGCCTCATTGGAACTGAGATATTTTTCTGTAGTTAATAGCAAAAAGTCTCAGTTTTACATCAGGAAAATCAACAGAAACTCTACTCCAGCTTGGATTATTCCGGCTTATTCATTTAGACTATTTCATTGCACTTTTCCTTAATCAAGGACCTCCCCACATCTCCTAAGTGTATCACATACAGTGGGATATGTAAATGCTACAAGGGCCTGTGCACACCCTGCTCTCACTGGATGTGGCTGGGAACTGTGTCATTGTCCTCACTGCAGTGTCAAGACAGAACCAGTAAGGAGGTTGCTTTAAGCCAAGATAATGAAAGCAAGACAAAATGTTTCTAATCAAAGGCAATGGCTGAAGCAGGGGCAATACCTGTAGTCTTGCAATAGCATGTACACCGTGTGCTGGCCTTTGAGAAGAACAAAAATACTCACTTTCCCCTCAGCAGAAGGCAAACCCCACTGCACAGATGCAGCCAACCTTTTGTCAGCTTGGTGTGCATCACCTAGGGAAGCCATGTGGCCATACTACAGGAAAAAATTCTGTCACCATATAGCCTGTTTCCAGTGGGGACTCTGCTGCCTATAGCTATGCCAAGACTGGTCCCAGTATAGAAGGCAGTTTGGAGAAAAGGGACTATTCTATTCTAGTCCTGGAGGGATGAGTACTAGTCATCTAGAAATTGTAGATCCCTAGTTTTAAAA